AGCATTTTGCATATATATTATGGTTTCTGAGTTTGCTTTCTTCAGGGATGTCTGTGTGTTCCAATGTTTGTGTCTGTGTGTGCTTATGTGTCTCTCTCTGCGTCTGTATGTTTATTGTGCTATTTTTGGCTTTGTTTTACTTGTCATTTTCATTTGTGTTGATCTAGTCAGATTTATTTTTTATTTTATCTTATTATTTTGTTTAGATGACTTTTTGTTTTCTAATGAAAAAGAACAAGAAAGGATATAGATTTGGGTGAGTGGGCAGGAAAGATCTGGAAAGAGTTGGGGAATGGGAAACTATGATCCGAATATGTTTTATGAAACACCATTTTCAATTAAAAAGGAAAGAAAGAACACAGCTTGATAAATGCTGCTACTGATGTTGAGAAAGAGGACCACTGATGTAGTTTGTGTGCAAAAATAGTCAATCACTTTGGAAACCAGTTTACAATTAGGAACTATAAATAGAATCTAAAGATATAAGTATGCCCTATAGGTATATACACAAAGAATTTTATTCCTAACACATACATTCTAGAAGCCAATGTGCATTTTCCTCTATTGTCAATTCATAGTAAAATTTAATNGCTGGGCTAGAGGCAGGACAATGGCAAGACCTTGAGGCCTGGCAAATTTTTGCAAGGTGAGGAGCACGGGCCATTTCTGCAAGGCCTTAAGGAGGGATGAAGATGAGTGGAAAGAATTTTAGTGAAAAGAGGTTGATTACAGAGAACTAAGAGTTCAGACAATGCAAATAAGTGACAAGGAAGATAATAAAAAGAGAGAAGATCCAGGAGACAACTGGGAAAAAAGTAGAGGTGGTAGTGGAGCAGAAAAATCTTCACATCCCTGGAATAAAACAGCTCCAGTAAAGTGACTCATGCTCCAGAAATAGTTACAGAAACCTTGGAGCCGCAAATGCCTAGTAGTGTACATCAGCCTCTTGGGGCCAGGCTAACCATAAAGAAAATGCAACAAAGATGGCGAGAAATATAAGGTGACGCACAGTTCTGATCTCTCTAGTCCACTGCTGCCAAGCACTTAGAGAGACAGAAAGATAAAGAAATGGAGAAGAGCTTCGAAGTAGTAAGACCCCAAAATAGAGGTAGGTAGGGAGGTTTCAAAAACCTCCCTTAAAAAACCAGGCCCTTAAACTTTAGCTAGATAACCAGTAGCTTGTGCTTGAAAATAAGAAGTACAGCTAGCTACACACAGTACAGTAAAGCTGTGCTCTTTGCTAAGCCTTTCAAGATAACTAGACCACAGTTACCCACTACCAACAGCATCTCATTTCTGGTTCTACAGTGACTGACTGATGAAGACCTCGATTCCAGTGACAATCCCTGTTGCACTATGAAAGTTCAAGAGTCACCACTGATCTGGATGTGTGTTGTATTTAGGGGAGTTTATAATGTCTTAAATATTTGTGAATTAGATTCAGCAGTGTTTCCATAGTTACCCTGCATATAAAACCAAACCTGCATCCAGTGGTCATTTCAACATCGTTATGTTCAGCTATTGAGCCTTTGCACGGTTAACTATCTCAGATTTGCTGCACTTAGTTGTGGATTTCATGTGGGTCACCACTTCTGCATATGTTACAGCCATGAGTGTCAGCCATGAGTGTGAACGCTGAAAGCAACTCTATTGGATTCCTGTCAGGAAGCCTTCAGAAGTCAACCATCTGGGATCAGATCTGCTATAAATAATGAAGAGTTAGCTGACATTAATAACCTGTTCTGTGGCCCAATCTAAGGAATACTCTGTAGGCTGTGGCTGTATTAGACTTCCTGAAAAAAGCCACTGTCAAAACTGATGTGTTTGGATCATAGGTGTGGTGCTATGATTTATAATTTAAGCTTTTAGTCATAGTATGATGTGACTACAGATTCAATTCAACCAAAACTTGATCCTCCAAATGGGGAAAAGGATGGGGAAGAGTCTTGTTTCTTTCAATACTCTTTTTTTTTTTTTCCAGATAGTGCTAGTTCTGTTCCACATTAAGGCCTTGCTTCAACTGGTAGTAAGTTCTTTGATCATATTGTGTGGTGAAATAGCCTGAATGAGACATTGGAGCTGGGAAATGCACTGTGAGTTGTCAGTCCCTAGGTGGAACCAGATAGCCTTTGATACAAAGGGCAGCAGATGCCAGAGGCTCCACTGGAGGTGCTGCCCAAGCCTTCTCTTGTGAGTTCTAACTTAAACTGCTGTGCACAAAGTGGTGTCTGCTCAGATGGGGAAGGGTTCACTGACCTGTCTTAAAAAATCAATAAAACAGGTACAAAACTTTGCCAACACCCTGAGGTTGCTAAAGCAACACCTTACAAAGCAAGCCCCTGAGAAGCATTCCTCCATTTTCTCAGCCTCATTTCCACTTCCATGTCCTTGACTTTGCTTCCCTCACTGATGGACTGTAACCTATATGAAAAGAAACCAATACTTACTCAAATTGTGCTTGACTCGTATTTTATCACAGATGTGGTGATGCACGCTTTTATAGCTTGAGACCAGGAAACAGTTCTCTTCTGTAGTTTCCATTTAATAATTTTACTCTCATAATAGGATGAAAAAAAGGGAGAATTTTTTTTTATCACTGTATCATATATACATATTTCAGCACATCATGCTGTATCTTAGACTTTCTGTCTGGTAATATTTTTCCAGTCTCATAAATTTAAAAAAAAATAAATTAAATATATAACATTTTGTTAAGAAGAAAAGGTAAAATACAGAACTGCCAATCAAATGTGTTAACTAAACAGAGATTATATTTTTCCCCAAAAGTACAGGAATGAAGACCCATGTATTCAGTCAAACCTTCCACTTTGTCAAGGTTTTCCTCAGGACAAGTTTAATAACTACTACACTTGAGTACAGTCTAAATGAGGTGGGTCATAGCATCTCTTGGTACTATATGCATAATTTATATGCTTGATTTACCCTAATAAAAGTTCCTTTCATTTATGTGTGTGTGTGTCTTATGTGCTTTGAATTCTGTATAAAAAGTACCACAAATATTAAAATTCCCTGAACAACAAGCAACCAGTTAGCCTGAAAGAGGGCAAAATGTTGGAGTTTGTATATACAACGTTAAAGATGTTTTAGCTCTGGTGTCTTTGGGACAAAAGTTTCCTTTCTGCCTTATTTTCTTCCTTTTTTTCTTCCTTCGTTCGTTCATTCCTTCCTTCTTTCCTTCTTTGCTTCTCTCTCTTTCTTTCTCTCTCTCTCTCTCTCTCTCTCTCT